GCGGAGGGGAAGTCGACGTCGAACCATTCGCTCCAGGTGCACACTTCCGGTTCACAGGGTTTTGTTACCGTGGTTGTGGTGGTAGTCTGGGGTCCAGTTGGTGTTGTAGTTGTCATTGTGAAGGTTGTTGTGGTTGTGGCAGTAGGTGTTTCTTTTTGAGTTTGTGTTGTTTGTTTTGCTGTAATTTTGGTAATAATGTAATCTGTTTGTGGTTGATATGTTTCTGCTGGTGTCGTTTTGTGTTTTGTTATCAGGTGTGGAGTTGGTGATACTTCTGTCGATGTTGTACTGAATCGTGTTGAAGAAAGTGTACTTGGTTCTGTTGTTTTTGCAGTACTAATACTTTCAGTGGTTGTTTGGCATGGTACTGTTATATTTTCACAGCATTTAAATCTTAGTTCATAATTATAGCAAATGGGCGGCAGTTGGTCTTTATTGTAACATTTCAAGCCTTCTTCTGTATTGCACAGGATTTTTTGTTCCAGGAGAGGATATGGTGTGTTAGGAAACCTCACTGCTCTGCATTCCACATCCCTTCTGTTAGCACAGACTTTGTATCCTTTTTTTTTAATGTTCTGAATGGTGTCAAAATCTCCATCATCATAACCAGACCCTGGATAACTGACATCATACCATCTGGACCAGTAACATTCTTCTTTAAAGCAAAGAGAAGGTTTTGAAGGAAAGGTGGTGACCGGTGTTGTCATTATGGTTGTGGTTGTTGTTTCTTCAGATGTTGAATGTATCAATGTTGTACTTTCAGAAGTTGTAGAGACTGGATATGTTGAAGAAGAGCATGGTACAAAAACACAGCATAGGACTCTGATCTCATAATTGTTGCACATTGTTGAAATTTGGTCTTTGTTGTAACATATAAGCCCATCTGTTGTACTGCATTCTACTTTTTGGCCAAGGTCTTTCAGTGGTATATCTGGGAATTTTTCTGCTCTGCATTGAACATCCCGTGGAGCTTTACAAACTTCATAACCTTGAGCTCTTAAATCATTGAAGGTTTCGAAATCTCCACCGTCATAGCCAGGGGTTGGCAGACTGCCATCATACCATTCTGACCACTCACAGACTTCATGAACACATACTGATGTGGTTGGTGACACTGCAAAGGAGAAAAGGAAGAGACCATGAAACTTAAAATAAATTCCTGTAGATATGATCTTTTTATGTTATTTTAAATGGGTGAACAATTTTCCTAGTGTTATTTTTCTTGCATTGTGATCCTGTAGGGCATCAGTTTAGCATACTTTTAATTTAATATGATTAATATTAAATTTAATAGGATGTAATTTAATATGGTGTTTCAGAAGCGGATTTGTTTTCTATGTTTATTTCCTTGTTACTGCTCTCCTTTATTGTGAGGTTGTATTAATTTATTCATGCTGTGCGTGTGGGCATCGTTTTGTAGCTAAATTTTACTCACTAATAAACAGAATACACTCTTATGTCCTATAAAGAATTTACCTGTGGAAGTACTGGCAGGTGGTGTAGTGCTGAAATGAAATGTTGTTGCTGTTGTGGGTGATGTTGAGATTGGACACTCATAGATAATCCTTTCAAGTGTTCCATTGGGACCACAGATTGCAACAATACACCCTCCTGTTCCATCTGTAGTGTTGTAGACCACATCTTGGTAGTTATATTTCTGTCCCTCATAGAAACAGACACATTCTGTAAATCAAAATAGGATGTTATTCCTTGCTATCTGAAACACAGAACAGAATACCTTAAATGCATCCTAATCATATAAAACCAACTTTGTCAACATACCGTGTTCATCATATCTGCATTCTTTGCCATGAATTGTACATTCACTGGAAAAGAGGAAAAATTGAGATTATCAATGTGAATATATCAGTTCATGACATAATTTTTTTGTTTCAACTTTTTTTGTATCAATCTGTTCATTGTGTGTTTAAATGTAGAATGCCCCTATCTTCTCTGAGTTACAGCTTCAGTTCTGCTGTACAAATTCAGGCTAGGTTATCTTCACATGGTTCTCTGACAAGAAAGATAACTCTTCTGTGCCAGCCCATGAAACATGCAGCAACCTTATCAGTGCTTTTGGGAGCTGAGCAAAGGTATGAACAAGGGTCATCTGAGATGTTCTCATCACTCTGGTAGGTCTACTTGTTTTTTGGAAGGGAAAGTGCAGTAAATGTATCATTTACATTCATAAGGATATATACAAAGGATCACTGTATCATGGATGTTGAAGTAATCTACACAGCAAATTTCCATCAGACTTCCAAAAGATGCAACAATGCAATCCGGTTTTAAGTGGAATTTGTCTATTATCTTTTAATAACTGAATCTTGATGTATTTATTTACAGTGACTAAGGGCATCTATACATTGAATAAACTTAAATAAATATAAATATGTACTTATTGCTTCAGGTTTAGTGCTGTTAATGACCTAGACAATGTAGACAAAGATGTCTATGAACTGCAAAACATGCCAAAGAAGTTGGGTTTGCTCAAATGGGCTTTGTGTTAAGATTTTTTGCTATTTGCATTGCACTGCTTACTGTATTCAAGTGTAGCTAAAGGTGTCTTAAGACAATTGTTAACTGCTTAACAACTGATTCTGCTAACTTTGTACTATTTTATAGAAGGCTTAGCAGCACTTGTCGCGACTTGCCATCAGTAATGTGTGGGAATACTTGCAGCTATGGGAGAGTTGTGACTATGCAAGTACCAGTGAAATAGCAGAAACAAGCTCAAAACCACGTAGATGAGTTGGCTGCTAACTTCTAGAGAATTTCGTACAATGAGTTTAGGGATATCTTAATACAAATTCTAGGACTATTCCCTAACTATTGTTATTTTAATTTATTTTTATTTGATTTAGTAATGATCATAATAATTTAAAAGCACTTTAATAAATGTACAGACTAAGTAGTAAATTAATCTCTCAATGGTGAAATGTTTCACCATGGTATCATTTAAGTTCCTGGGAAGGGAAGAAAATTAGACATTATTCATCAGCCTCTGACTAGCCTGCTTCCTGTTGGTAAACAACAAGTTTAATGTGTGATAAATTATGTGCCACAACTTTAAACTCAATTTTTAAAAATCTTTACTAATCTTACCATGATTCACAATTCTGCTTTGGAGGCATCTCCATTCCTGGTTTATAATTTTTCCCATTTTCATAACAACCACAATTAGAAACACAGGTCATGGTTTCTTCATCAAAATAGGGCTTATTTTTTGGACAGTGTGGATAGCAGCCTGCAATAAAAAGAGTCAAGTTGAAACTAGCCCTTTCACAAGTAGAATTAACTCTAAACTCATATCTGCTTTCCCGCAATTGTCCCATGTGGTAAGTGAAATTTCAGACCCTCTTACTGCTATTTTGATTGCATATTAAGCTTTGGTGCATTTTGTCCTCATCTTCACTCCAAACAAATATGATCCACGAGGTAATAAGATACTAAATTAGAAAATCTCTTATAATTTCTGCTACAAGCATGTCATACACTGAGTAATCTAAATTTTGTTAATCATACTGCATTTTAAGCTTGTATAACTAGAACAAGATACATATTATTATGTTTACCTTCCAAACCTCTCATCTCATGTAGGCAGTTCCCACTTGGATTGTTGCAGGTCTTCATACAAGGGGCTCCACATGGTTTGTAGTGCCACTCACATTCCCCTTGTGGATTGTAGTAATCACAGAACAGAGCTAGAAGAAGGGAAAATGTCAGCAAAATGCCTTTGATCTTTCAGCTCTATAGTCTCTCAGTTTTGCTGGGTAAAAACCCCATGGGATCAGCATAGTCACGTAGGTGGTGAACAGTATATTGTCTTATTGCTAATTTGATAAGATTGTTATATTTCTACCACCTCTTGACATAAATAAATTTATAATGCATAGAACAGAATTACACATTAAACAAGAAAAATCAGTTGATTAAATCACTGATTTTAGCTAGTATGCACTAGTATTTATTTACATGGAGCCTGCTATAGACAGGTGGGAGTGTAATATAATACTGTAGTTCACTAGTTGTCTATCATGATTGACAAGTTAATCAGACATTAATCACACCACTTGTAAAATTACTATCTGTGGTTTCATTTTAGTAGGATAGGTTGTCTTCCTGTGATTTACCCAGATTTCTTTGTTGGGGTTTTTCTGGTTGTTTTTTAAAGAATACAACAGTGCCTCTTTCTTACAAATACAATTTTGTCTCTCGCTTTTTTCCTACTTTTTTTTTTCCTGTTTTCTTTCCCTCTGGACCCCTCCCTAAGGTAGTAGGTCGAAACTTACGACATATGGATGGGGTTCTCCATGAAATGCAAATGTCCAGCTCATTGCATGCTTGAGCATAGGCAGCTACTGCTGTACAGAAACATTCACAGTCTCCTCCAGTGTCGCAGGCACAAGCATCATCCACACATGCTTGATAATATTCGTTTGGTTCAACCTGATGGAGAAAACATTTAAAGTTTTCATGCCCTTGTCCCGTTTGCACTGTCCTAAAAGAGCTGAATAAAATATCTGAAACTGACAGCTGTATGTGAGGAAGCTAAGAAAGGAAGAAACCATGAGAATGCTTTGAAAAAAATCAGGAGGAAAATGTAGACTAAAGCTATTGCTACTAAGCTGTAATACTAAGAACTGTGTGATGTTGAAGGTACAACTGCAGAATACTGTTAATTACTACAAGCTAGCACACAGTCATACATAGCAGGTGGCTGATATTTATATTAGTAGAAAATTATGCCATTAGAAAATAAGCATATCCTGAAATTTATCTATGATTTGTCCTTCTATTAAAAACAAACAAACAAGAACAACCAATCCAAACTATCAATTTCTTTAGTGTACTTGTTCAAGGCTAAAGTTGAGAAAACGAAAGTGAAAATACTTTAGTGAAAATACTTTCTGTGCAATCTCCATAGAACTTGGTCTGAGCTCACTTTGTAAAGCATGAAAAAGCGTATTTTAGGTGTTTGTGTTTGGGGTTTTTTTTATTTGTTTGTTTGGGGTTTTTTTAATCTCACATAAGAATTAATGTAATCTTTGTCTCAAGAGAATTTAAGACTAAAGTTTTTGTCATACCTGGGAGTGACACTTTGCAAACACTTCACTGGTAATGATGCTGCATTGCTTCTGTGCCCAGGCTTTCCTGTATGGGTTTGCAGTACATGGATCCTTCGTACGATTGGCATTTGGGCAACTAGAAGACACTTTCCAGCTATTGGCAAACTCCAGCACATTTCCTACCACAGACTGACTGCGAGTAGTGAAGTCATTATTTCCATTGCCATCGTAGTTTCCACAAAGTCCACAAACATGTCCCTGCATCAGGATAAATACACAAAAATCACAAAAATAATAAGGTACAGTTTCTCAGTATCTGTGAGTAATAGACCTCAGAATGAATCTTATTTAAGATTATCTGTGTCTTTTAAGTAACAGTGTTGGAAATTTTCATAAAATGCCTTTTATAAAGAGATTATTTCTGACTTGTTGCTAGGAAGGATAAACAAAGATAGGAAGAACAGTAGACTCATGGGTTTTGTTCTTAAGTACTCAGCTATTTAGTTTTAGCTGATCATGAACGTATCTCTTCTGTGAGGTCTTTTCATGAGGAAAGCTACTGATGTAGTTGCTATTATGCCATTGCTGAATAATGTAATGTAAGGAAAATGCATAGTACACAATCTGATTCAAGACAGCAAGGATAATAATACTCAATTGCTGCTCTTGAAGTCTTTCATGTACAGCCTAAATTTCCACACTTTTTCTTTGAGAGATAATATGGATTAATTTTATCAAGGTTTTTGAAGTGTACCTGAAAGCTGGGACTAAGTTTGATGAATATACTGGTCTTCTTGTCCCACATGAGTATCAGACCAGCAGTGGTGTCAACTACCAGGTAGATACCCATGGAACGGATTTGGAATGGCATTTTTCCTCCAGGTGTCCTCTGGATGACATCAGAGTGTCCATCACTGAGTACCAGCTCATAGTTCTAAGACAGGAAAAGAAAAAGTTAGAGGCCAATTAAAAAAAAAAATCTCTATTTTGGTACAGGTTTATCTGTTGCCAGTAACTAATTGAAATAATAACTATTATCATCAAAAGGATGATCATCAACAGCCTCACATTAAGAAATTTTAGAGTTTCCTCCTTTGCTTTCTCTAGCAGAGAGCAGAATCATTAGCAGTGAGCAAAGAAGTCTAGTAACATTTTCACTGTCTTGGAGGACACTTCTGCAATGCAGTCTATCTGGGACAGCTTGTTCCACCCTTCTGGCATAACTTAAAGAAAATACTCACCCCCAAGAAAACTTTAATAGACTTAGAGCAGGTGGTTCCTGTAGTGCCACATGGAATGTTCTCAGTGATGACTCTGAAGGTTCCCTGATTCATAGCTTGTTGACCACAATAGTTCTGAAACAGAGGAATGGTATTCAATATTAACTATGCTACATGGTCATAAGTAAAATGCAAGGTACTTAATGCAAAAATCTGAGAAGGACTCTGTTACCTGGACCAGAACATATTCACAGTCTCCTTCAAAATCAAAACGTTTGCCATCAAAGGTGGTATAATGCCCATCTCCATAAACAGAACATGTTTCCAGGCAGGGTTCCTCAGAGCAATGCCATTTTCTGTTTCTACATGTGCTACATAAGACAAAAAGCACTCAAAATGTAAAAGCTATACATACACCCAATATAGGTACATTCCTGCATTTTACAATGTGTTAAGACTCTAATGAAAAAATCAAGTTTGCTTAGTCTCAGAAATGCAGCACAGCTCAAGAACTTTTGGGATTTAGTCAAAGACTGTTACTTAATGATGTAGTGAATAATTTGGATAAGAAAACATTAACTCTTTCACATTTCTAAATCTTGCTGGATGTACTGAAATGGAAGGATTTCCTGGGAAGAAAAAAGATTTCTTGACTCGAATGAATATGACAGCCTCCAAACCATAGTGTTCTTCTGACCACTTGCAATTTCTGGGCTACATACCACTGAGAAAAACAGACAGACCTTGCTTTTTAGGTACTAAGTGGATCATTTTATGTAGGATTCCTTTTTATGAATCTTGATGCTGTTAGAGTGAAATGCTATTCACTCATATGTTACTTCCCTAGAGCTTGAAGGAAATGTTATTTTTCAATATGCTCTTACCAGTTGTTACAGCCAACTCTGATTGATTCTCCTGGATTGTAGGAATTCCCATTGTGAATACATGGACAGTCTTCTGGAGCTATACAGCCTCCTTTGCCATCTAACACTTGATCATGAGGACATACACACCCAGAGACACAGTGAGTTCTGTACTGTAAGAACCATAGAGAAAACATGTCTTGAAACATTTCCCTTCTGGAAGAGTCCAGCGGCAGCTGGTTATTGTAAAAGAGATCTAGTTTAATATGCTCTCAACTAATTATAAAGACTCTATACTTACACATTCCATATCTAGAGTCTGACAGCTCTTTTGGCATCCCGCTCCTACCACATCTGCAGTGGCGTTACCACAGTCGATATAAACCATGGGAGGTACACAGACTGAAAGAGAGAAAAGCCATGAGAAATATGACAGAAGCCATGCATTCAAATCTTTGTGTTTCCTTAATACAGACTGAAGAAAAATGAGAGAAGACTCCTTTGTGACATATGGGTACCTTAAAATGATATGTTTGACCAGAAAGAGAAACTGATTGTTTTGAAATCATGTTTATCTGCTTTTTGTGCTTATGCTTGGACTAATCCGTTAAATTAACATTTAGTTAGCTTCGTGAAACACCTTTCAGAGAAACAAACCAAGAAAACAAAGATCTTTGATTACTTTGTTTGTGTTTTATTTTTGGTTTTTACTACTTTCAGTTAAAATGTGGATGGTTTTCCCCTCACATTCAGTGAGGTGACCTTGTACTCTTTTCTACTGGGTAACCCAGGGGGTTATAACTTATTTCAGCCATTGGAAAGGTAAGAAATTATTTATTTATATTTTGGGAATATCCTCTACATTACAGAAGTCCTCAGTTAATTTTCTTGATTGATTTCCTACTTTTACAATTTGCATCATTATGACAAAAGAGAACTGAAGAGGATGAAGATGGAAAGGGAGAATTAAAGAAGATCTTAAGGAATAAACTGATATGTTACCTGGTTCAGGTTTCTCTCCAATGCAGCTCAGCTTTCCATAGGTGCAAGTGCTATTAAAAAAAAAAAAAGTAATGGATATGTTTAAACATTTTTTTGGTTAATTTTCAGCCTGTTTCCTAGTGAATTTGAAATAATGAAAAATTACCGTGTAATAAAACAGATAAAACAGATAAAACATGTTGTTTACCAAAATATATTTTCTGTTCAAAAACATTTTATGTTAGAGCAGAACAAAATACAAGTATATTTATATAAAGGAAGTGTTTACTCTGTCTATTTCCCTGGTTTAAAAAATGTCCTTCAGGATAATTCAGATTCCATTCATAAAGGGAATAATCTGTAACGTTATTATCAAGTATCTTTCACCATAGAACAAGTCTTTTACAGTCATAGATAAGAAAAGTATGTGTTGTGGGGAAGGAGACAGGAAGGGACGGAGAGAGAGCGGGATAGCAAAGGCTAACCTACCCCAGTATGTTTTGTTCAATTCTTGCACAATCTTCCAAACATGGGTAGCCCTAACAATTTTTAGGAATATGTGATTTTTTTAAATTGAAATTATTAGGGAAAGAGGTGCATTTGATTTGATTTCATAACATATATATGGTTTTGTGACTGGACATAAGCAATCTCGTTTTTCTCTTTACAAATCTCTTACCAGACAACACCATTATCATGAATAACTTCTCCAGAAGACAGAGGCATTCCTTTGTAGTAACAAGGACAGCTAGATGCAGGCACACATTTGCCAGTTTCATCCATGTATGTTCCATTTATGCAGGTGCAGCCATCAACTGGGACAAACTTAATGCTGCATGTGACATCAGGCTCACTCAGAGACCGGCAGGTGGGTTGACAGGTATCGACATTGTAAGTGTACTCCAAAGATTTCGGACACAAGGTGGTGTATTTTGCTTGAAAGTAAAAAAGTGAGTTACATTTGTAGTTCATTTAAGAATCAATGTAGGTATAAGTGAAGTATTTGAGGTAAAATATATATGATAAACATGGCAATGTATATACAAGTGCTTTACTGATATCCTCAATAGTGTAATTTTTATTTTTTTTTTTTTTTTTTACTGCTGGAGCAGAATTTTCCCCTATAAATGTGTCACAAGTACAAATATTTTTTCCAAATTAAAAAGAGGACAAAGTTCAACTATATTAATGCATAGTATGTTTCTTCAGCATTGATATTTTTACTTTCTATTTTTTTGGCAAAGTAAATCAAGAAACACCTTACTTATTTTATTCCTATTGCAAGGGTATGGCTCTCCACATTACTTCTGCTGGTTCTGGGCAAGTAATCTAACAAAGCCTCTTTTTTCTATTTCTAACTGTTTATTGCTTGTCTTTTATGGTATTCCTTTCCTCCTCAACTTCTTCAAAGTCAATGCTAAGCTTAAAACCCAGTTTTACACAATTTACTGTGGGAATCCCTGAGAGCTGCTCTGCAGGGGCTTCTGAGTGATCATTTTCAAAAGGCAAAGGAATGTAAAACTTACTGCAGGCTTTACTTCTCCATCCAGGGAGGAGAACTCCTTTAGCAGCACAGGCTCTGACATAGCTTGAAAGGGCAGCACACATGCAGTCCTCACTCTTCTCACAGTTACATGTGTCAAACATGCAGTTCTAGGAACAGGGATGACATATGATCATCAGATTGTCATGTCAAAGCCACGGTGCTCTATAGAGTGTTACATTTGTTAGAGGTTAAAGTGAGTGTGATCCACAAGTCTAAGTAAACATATGCCTGTTCTTCATTGAGCACTTTCAAAGAAGATTCTTTGCATGAAGAAAGAGTAATTAGAGGTCTACAATTTTGAACTCTTTTTTCTTTTTCTTTTTTTTTTTTCCTTTTTCAAGTGTTGGTTTTCCAACTACATCCAGTTTTTCCCCACTGTGCCATATATATTTAGAACAAATAGAGAGTATTTGATGCCACCCAGAGAGTATTTGATGCTCTCTGCACAAGAGGAACAAAGAAAACCAGTTATTTAATGTGTTTCTGTGCAGGGCAGGGATACTGTAATATTGTAATTCCAGAAGATGTTTGCTGAACATAATCTTATAAATTTTGCAATAACAGGGAGATTTTGTAAAGTACCCAGGGACTCTGTTACAGAGTTTCATCACCTTGAATTCCTGGAATGTTTTTGTTCGCATATCTAAATCTCTTTGCTGTTTCTTACACACATTGCTTGCCTTGCCCTTTGCATATATGCAAAAGCCTTCTGAGAGCAGTTCAGAGAAACTAAAGTGCTGGTTAAGATTCTGACTAAAGCTTTCCTTCTACCTCAGGAGGGACAGGTTTTGTCCCTTGACCTCATAAGGAGTCCAAGGAGTCCAAGCTCCTAGCTTAATCTTTAAGTTCCCACCTAAAAATACAGGAGGTGCAAGAGGAATATACCTGTAAATTTATCCTCCTGGGAATGGAGAGATACCTTTACAAAGGAGCAAATTTTATAAGAATGAATCCTTTGCTTGAAAAGAACTACCATGAATGCATATCCTCTCAATTGGCAAGTTACACTCTCAGGTGTTAGTATCAGAAATCTGAGTCTTTTTCTCTTAAATGGGATAAAGTTAAGAGCCAAATACCTTCTGGTAAACTTCTGGATTCACTGTTGAGTGACATTCAGCAAAAGGTCCCATAGTATCAGAGAGCAGTCCGCACCAGTGCTGAGCATACTGGTCTGTGAATTGAAAACGTGGTAAGAGATTTTATTGTACTTAATTTTCAAAACTCTTGTCTCAGTTTTACTATACTTCCTGCAGGGAGATTGCAGAAGCTTAACTTTACGATATAATTTAGCCCCACATTTGCTGAAACAGTCTTTTGCTTCCTGTAAAGAGAAATAGGAACTCTTCATAAACTGAATGCTCTCTAATTTGTGGTAATTGTCATGGAAAAAACTAAGACATCCATAATCGAATTTTGAAAAGAAAAGTTCACATTGTAAATTAAAAATATGCTAGTTCATCTGAGAAAATAAAAGAGTAAGCTTGTGAATACTCAAAATTATATATTTTATTGTCTGAAATGGAGCTTGAAAACTTTGACATTCTGAATTTTAAATCTGGTTCTCAGTTTAATAGTGGAAGGGTCACACTGAGTCCAACATTCAGTGGGGCTATGCACAGTTTTTTTTCCTATATGACAGTCAGCCCTTTCCAGGAATGGATCCCTAATATGCTGTATGGTTCCACTTTCTCTTAAGTAAGCTGGCAAAAACAGTTGCTGTCTTGATCCAAAGGAATATTTTTACAGATCCAAAATATTTTCCTAGCTATTGTTTATTAATTCAAGACTTCTAGTGTCAGCTGAGGAAAATAGTGTGTGTGCAAACAGTTCTGTTATTTTGTCTAAATACTTGGTGACTGATCAGTTTATTCTGTCTTTGCATCTTAAAAGAGAATAGAAGAAGTTACTATATGCTGAGCTTACCGTTTTGTATGCTGACAGTACAGGGGTTCTCAAAGGTATTTTTGGCATCAGAACAATCAGCCCGAGTTTTCCAAGTATTGCCAAAGGCAGCTGAGGTACCCTCTATTACACCACTGGTGGTTTTGAAATCATCTGTCTGCATGTCATTGAAGTTTCCACAGAGACCTAAAAGGAAGCAGATGGTCTGTGAAAGGGCCCTACAGAATGACACATACTGGTGAAGGCACTTGTTATGCTAAGGTCACTTACCACAGGTCTGCCCTTTATGTGAGGGGTCTAAGTCTATAAAAAGTTGCATGAAAGGCACAAGTTGAACCTGTAGCTGAAGACCAAAGGTTGTTTGCAGAATGATGAAGAAAGATGAAGGTCTGAAGATGGTGACATTTGCTAGGGATATAAGAACAAAAGAGTTATAATTTCATATGAGATGAGCATTTGAAATTATTGTTCATCACACAGAGGAATTCTACAGCTGTGTTTGATATGATCCTAATTTCTGAAGAACTGGGGGGGAAATGATCCATACAGGATTTCAAATCCAGCACCAGAACAGGCTAATATAAGCACCTAAACAACAAATGTATACAAACCCTGCACTTTTTGTCAGGTGTTTTAAAATAAGGGGAAGAACACACACTTTCATTGCTATTTAAAAGGTTGCTTTTCCTTGGTGAAAATGATATAGCACTATTTAATGGAAGACTCCAGCCTGTTCCTATTAAGTCCTTTCATGGTTTGCTTTGTGTTCAGGTGCAGTAGTATCTGAGAAGAACTGTCATGAGAGAAACTCCAGAGATTAATGTGCTCCAGAGGGAACACAAGGAACTAAATGACTTGAGATACTGGAGTCCTGTTGCATGTCAGATTTTTTCTTTCATCTCTTATGTCAATGTTTGGATCTGGAAGTGTGCAATGACACTGTTTCCTTGAACTGAATCTCCATTTCATTAGATATTTAGACCTTAATTTTGCTAAAATTGTAAGTTTTGAATAGGCACACCCTATTACGTTAGAAGTGGGAGACTATGCTCTACTGCAGTACTTTGGGTTTGCTGCAGTGTAATCAAAGGTAGAATTTGGCTTTAGATTAATTCATGTAATAACATTTTAAAGTAAAAAATGAGAAACATTACAGAAGTCTTCCAAAGGAACTTACCTGCTGAGAATGGCAGCTGTGTGTAGATCATATTCACAAATACACTACCAGAAGCTTGGATCACAATGTTCTGTCCACAACAAAAGGGAATGATTATCAAGCATATTTAGGAAAAGTACAGTACTTTCAAAATATTTTCTAATACTGTTCAAGATGGAGGGGAAAAAAAAGTGGAGGGAGACTATGATGATGTTCTGATTCCTATATTATTTCTTTAATTTTATTACTGCGGTCCATTGACTGTCGAAAAAAGCAAAAGCCCAAAGTTATCTAACTAAGAGAAAACTACTAGGATCTTGTCTTCTAATGTACTTACTTTATTCTTAACTTTACTTTGAATAATGTTCAAATGAGATAAAAGGAAAAGTAAGTGCAGATTTCCTGTGTGTGCTGTTATGTGTCATTTGCAAACTACTTGTCTGTTAAGCTTTGAGAACATCCCTGCAGAATGTTAGGTGTTTACATTTGCTACTCACAGTTTGTCCTCCACTCAGGCTGATGGCTATACCCTTGAGGCACGTCTCAGTTTCAGTCAGGCCACACTTGTGGATGTCTCCCAGAACTGTGAATTCATTGCTGTCACACAGCTAGAAGAAAACAAAAGATACCAATAAAAGGATTTGTTATATTAAAATATTGTTAACTTTAAAAAGTTCACACTTAAGTGGAATTCTTAGTAAAGTGAATCTTTCAAAATATTGTGTATTTAATTTCTTCTTGTCACGTGGTCTTACATGTATGTATACAGACACCAAGTCAGCTGGCATTCATGCAGTCTGCACTCTGGAAGCTATCCATTGTTCCTGACATCAAGGGCGAATTAGACATATTAAGCTGAACATTAAACTCCCTAAGGCTTAGGTAATAGTAGTTCCTAATGTTATGGTAATACTAGTTTAATATGCTAGAGAAGAAGGACACGTGCCTTTCTTTCCCAGTGGTTATGAAGTTTACCAGGGAGAGGAAAGAAATTGTTTCCAGTCTTCTGCACTGAATAAGTTATCAAGGACCTTGGTGATTTGAACATTCTTCAAACTGGTAGGAAATCATGCATTTAAATATTCTCTAACAGGAGACAATCAAGCTAAAATCCTTATTCATTAAATTACTGAATAAAGGCAAAATTGGGGTTTTTTGCCTTGGTTCTGATTTTTGTTGAACTGTGTTCTGTGAGCCACCTTTAAAGGGTGACTAATGGCCAAGACTTAACAGGGCAACACTCAGAGAAGGCTGCGATTCTGAATTCGTCTTACCAGTTCTTTGGCATAATGAAGACTAAATTGAGGATAGCTGATATGCAGAACTCCAGACATCTGGAAATTCAGTATTAAATTTGTGGGCTTTTTGAACTTTTGAGTACAAATTTAGTGATTTTTCTCTACCTCCAGAAACCCTGAGAATCTAATTTTACATGTTGGTGCCAAAAAGAGGAGTTTAAAGTATAAGTCTGATCTGTGCTTCCATTGTGGATCAAGAACAGTGCTTGTTAATCTCATTCAAAAGTTTCATTAATTTAGTCTAATCTATTTCTAAAGTACTCTAGCTCCTTTCTAAGTTTTTATTATTCTTTTACTTGGTAACATTCAGACTGATTTTATTGATAACAGATTTGATTCAAAATGAAGTCCTTATGAAAATAGTTTACATGACTCACCCAATACAAATAAACCATAAAAATAGCTACGGTTATGAAATCTAGGTATTTAGTATATCTACTAAAATCTAGGTATTTAATATGTCTGCTAAAAATTCAGTGCAATTCTTAAACAATGATCAAAGAACACAAAACCGCTACAATATTATTTAGTATAACCCTAACAGACAGGCTTCATGTTGACTCTCTAAATTTCATAAAGTTGATGTGACTGCCAGTAATTTTCAACAAACAACCTTATATATAATAAAAATACTTTCCTTTAGCAAGGGTGACTCATTTTTACCTTGGTTAGGACATAGCTACAGTCTCCGAAGAAAGAGTAATGTTTCTCATCAAATGTTGAAATGTGGGAGCCTCCTTCAATACTGCAAGTTCCAGGGCATGACTGAGTGACACAAGACCATTCACCTCCAGCACAGGTACTGAAATGAAGAAGGCATTCAGTAACCTTGGGTAATGCAAATGTAAATGAAATAGAAGACAATAAGGGCAGATGATGCCTCAGTTTTCATCTTGAAACACTGATCATACTATCAAAGAAACCAGTATTGCTATAAAATATCAGAAAAAGTATGGGGCAGGCACATTTATATTAGTGATAATTTTATATATATATTCTTGTTCGTTTCCAGTCTCTGTAGAGAATTCAGTCCTGGTGAACCTGTCATACATCCTTCTGCATATGAAGTATCACTCCTCATCTCCATTAGCATGGCTCAAGCTTCAAACATGTGAAGTTTTTCATGGAAAATAACATGGTTCTTGTGTTCATACATAGATAGGTGCATTTGCACACAGTTATGCAATAAAACTTCAGTAGTTGTAGTGATATTCAAAAAATATAGGTAATATTTGCCAAATATGCCTCTCAAATGTGATCTCCCACTCTAAATGCAGCATGTCCCTAAGTGTCATGGTATTTACATGAGCATCCTAATATTATACTGCAGTGCTGCAAAGGATGTAACACTAATTCACATTTTTTAACACTTGTTATTTGATTGTCTTCTTTAATTGATATGTCTTGAAACTGAAGCATCTATTCAAAAACTTAAATTTTACTTCCAAGTGTAAGGGGAAAACAGACATGAACTGTCCTCTAAAACACTGTAATCAGGAAATTTCAATTGATAAGTAGTTCCTAATTTTTTTAAGGGGTAATTAGTTATTTTCCCCCCATCTTTGGAATATTCAGATAGTGCACGTAAAAGAAAAGACACGTGTGAAAGTGTCTTACCATGATCTGCATTTAGATGAGAAGGAGGCACCAGGAGCATAAGTTTCACCTTCATAGGTACAGTGGCATTCTCTACGGGGAATGCAGCCAGCACCATTAACGTCATCAAACACCATTCCTAGGAAAAGAAATGGTCTGTTACTCATTCTGTGCACTGCACAGCCTGCCTTTGAACACATCTAGCAGATGCTGCCTGAGAATATGCCCCATTTCTTCTGTATTACGCAGTACTTTAAAATAATAGGATGCAAGCTATGTAGAGATTGAAAGGCTATATGCCATTGAAGCCTACCTAAAATCCTACGGTGATCAAAAGAGATCTCTAGGGAAATAAGTTTCTGTTATGGACTTCCTTAGAATGGAATTAGGATTAAAATTACTGGATAACGAGGTGGAATAGATGAACCATGTGTAAGATTGCCCAGGGACATATTTGTACAGTAAATATTTTTGTGCCCAGAGACATAGGATTGTTTAAGAGAAGTCAATGCCATTACACAAACAAATGATGGTGAATTCTGTGAGACATCATGAGAATGGGCAGAAGAGCTGCAAGGGGTGAAGATCCTACCATACAGTCACTCACAACAGCAACAAAAATTTTCAGCCCCAGAAGTGTGCACAAAGAAGATACACTTACATTGTTTGTCTTGTACTGATACTCAGGTCTCATATATAATTCTCTGAAGCACCAAATTTTACACACTGCCTAGTGCTCTCTCAACTCCTTGTTTAGATGCTCAGCACTTGATAAGAAGGAGATTTGGCAAACCAGATGTAGCTTTGCTTACAGGAGTTATCGTTGTGTGCAAAATCTGATTAAAGATTTCATACTTTCTGGGAACTGAATCTGAATGCTCTTGTTGTTAGGAACAAACTATCTTATTCTCAGTTCAGTCATTATATACACGTCTTCTCAATGTTTGTTATTTAAAAGGGCATATTTAATAATCTGAATAGAAATAGAGCATGTATATGAAGGAAGAAATGTAGCTTTTCTTTTGATGATAATAACGCTGGTGTCATGATGAGAATGATACAAAATGCAAAAGTTGTTAAATGTGTACAGGTGAGTATTCTAGTGGGTTTGGCTGTGAGAACAGGGCAGGAAATAAGCTTGCCTGGAGGACAGACGCAGCCATCTGTACAATGGTCTTCACAAAGTGCAGATCGTTCCGGGTTGCTGCACGTGTCAGAGCAGGGAGAGCCACACTCGTGGTATTGCATGTTGAACGGACATGATTTGGCTAAAAGTAGAAAAAGTATTATAAAGCTGGCTTTTCCCTTGAAAGGTTGAGAAAACAGTATTTGCAATTTAGGATGTTTTCTGTCAAGATATGATGGGGAATTCTGATCCAAGGCCAAAACATTTTAGTTTTTCTGATATATATTAAAACTGTTCGTAAGGAAAATCCCCTAAAATTCCATATTCCCAAAGTCTTAAGTATAATCAGGTTGAAACTGATTTCATGATAATTGTATGCACCTTTAAACAACTGTCTTTTCAAGGAAAAGACCTCACGGTTTGGAGTTTAATAGATGTGGGTAATAAGCACAGGTGGAAGTCCCTTCCTGAGATACTTACGACACAGTTGTGAGGTTCTCCAGTTCAGAGGCTGTCCACCTGCATGAGCACACTGCCGGGAGTATTCAGCAAAAGTGTTACACATACAGAAGTCAGCCATAGAACTATCGCAGTGGCATAGGTCTTGTATGCAAGTTTCGATGTAGTCCTGAACATTGACAAGCATGTTGCAACTCGTAAATGCTTTGCTGGTTAATACTGTCTCACAGATAGAAGCCTGGGAAGGAAAACAGAGAAGGTAAACAAAACATTTAGAAAATATGAAACTAATTATTTAAGGCTTGTGGCAGAACAAATCAAGGATCCATCCAGTCCACAAAACTTGTACAACAGTAGCCATAAGCAGATATTTAGGGAAAAGTATATCAATAGCGCAAGAACATAAAGGAAATCCTTTAGTTAATTCTAGTATCTTCCGTATCTTGAGTTACTTTCACCTCAGGTGACTTCCCAAGCATTATACAATTTCTTTATATTAAGATATCCTCAGTGATTTTCTCTTTTGGGAAAATATGTAGTGTTGTCTTGGGGAACTTTTTAGCATCCACTTTGGCATATTTTTTCCCTTCTAACAAATTTTCTCCAAAGATAGAGAGAGTATATTTCACACTGAGAAGAAAAATTTTGAGAGAGAGATTCTTACAAATTCTGTTGAGCAGTTCATCTGAACAGTAGAAGGAATAGGATCATCACACTGCTCTGTGGGTCCATCCATTTTCTGTCTATTACCAAACTGTATGGGAGTTAGTTTTGTCTCTGTAAAAAATGGTTAAAATATTAGAACAATGTTTACTGGTTTTTTGCATGGAAATATTTTCTTTTGTGATACTACCTGCTATGACATGAACATTGATTACCAAATAATATCACTATAGTATGAAAGGTAAAAAAAGATGAACAAGGAACTCGACCTTGTATTGCAAACGAGTTTTATGTGGCAGGTCTTAAAACATCTAACAGTGATGGAAGCAGTCTAATACATCTCAAAGCCCTGACTACACATAACTGATATCATAGAAATACATGAAGAAGTATCACTAGTTATGCAGTTAATACGACCCACAAGCTATGTTACAGTATATTGTAAAAGAAAAAAATGAGCACCAATACTTAATAATGCTTTTTATTACTTACTCCCTGAAATAAATTCGTCGTTAACTGGAATTCCATTGAAGTCCCCACAAAGTCCACAAGTCTGATTGGCATATTTCTTATCTAGTTCCACCTAAAAGAAATGAGGAAAGAGGTTCATAGAAATGTCAGTCTGGATGGTTAGGAGCACATCCTACATCAGTATGGCTTGTGTACTCAAAATTTGACATATGTTTGCTGTGCAGACTGTGTTCTGTGATAAGAAGGTAGGCATCATTGGAAAGGTCAGTGACAACCAAGAAAAACTTGCTCTTCTTCTAGCCCCGGGTTGTGAACATCAGTACATTGCCAGGTCTGGAATCTGAGGATTACTTTACTGTGAGGTGAAAATATTATAATCGGGGGTCTATTGACTCTGAGCTGAGATTGGTGGGGGAAAAAAGGGAAATTGGGAGAAGACTGGAAAAACAATACACTAAAAATGGACACAAATTCAAAAGCAACTAATGTCTACATGACTGATTAATACTGCAAAAATGTAAACAAACTATTTTCAAAATACAGACTTTCTGCCATGTTCTGGATGTTTTCTTACCAGGAGGGCATCCTGTTCATTCCAAAGGAAGGTCAGTCCTAACTTGGCAGAAACTTTCAGATAGTTGTTACTTCTCTCTATCAAGACTCCCATATGGCTGTAGGGCATCTGAACCCTGGGGAAAGATCACTAGAAGTCAGCAGGGGTAGGGACAGAGTATTCATTGAATATCCACACTGCCATTCTTTCTTATTCTCTTTGAGAATTTTCAGCATCCATCAGTGACAAAATCAGAGCAGTAGCTAAATACAGACAACACAGGTTTGTAACATCTTGTCTGTTTCCTGTGCAGTTGCTTCTCATTGTGCAAATGGATCAGCCCTGTTGTTCCTTCTGGCTTTCTCTCAAGGGTGTTTTTCTAGGTAAAATGTTGGCATATGTTTTTGGTTGTATGGTTCAAAGAAGTGCTAGGAGACTCTGTTTTGCAAGCAATATGCATCAGGCCTTAAAGCATTTGATGATAAAGGGATGGATTCCAGGCTTTCTGTGACATGAGTGACATTCAAAAAGCTGTAACCAAGATAACCTTTACACTAGCTCATTGTACATAGCTGCTATGATAGACAACTCACAGTGGGATAGCTGCCCAAATATTTATTTGTCCTTTTCTACAGGTTTCACACCCTATGCCAAAGTCAGTGCTACAATTGCTACATAGATTGCAAGTTTCCAGAATAGATAATTTTAAATTAACTCAGATATAAGCTGCAGCCACTGCTTTACTGCACGCTGTTTGGCGCAAAGACAAAAGCTGTGAAAAACTCCTCTCAAGAATTCTGTTCTAGTAATATTAATGGAAGGTAGGTTTTGCACCCTTTAAGTTTCTAGCACTTTGACTGAATCCAGCTTATAGACTCAGTTGTATATGTACATATACAATTGTAGAAGTGGGCCATCATATGGAACATAGTTCATCTGAATAAAATGGACACGGGGATAATGTGCAGAAGTGGCACTTAGCTCACTGTCAAGCCCTCATTTTTGTTAATACTTCAGGAAAGACCTGAGCCTTCCAGCTGCTTGGAAGCAATGTCGGATCAGACAAGGGAAAGGGATGCTTGCTCAAAGAGTTCACTGGGATCAACAGCAGTGATGACAGCTGCAAGTTATGAACATACAATTTGTTGTCTAGCCGGACAGAGCCACGGGTCAGTTCAATCACTGCTCCTTCCAGCTTCATGATGACATGAGTGATCACGGTAGCATTTTCCGCCATTGTACGCCTAATCTGGATGTTGAAGTCCTCATAGGAAGACTTGCAGTTGGATGCAAAGATGTAATTGCAGACTCCAGGGAAGTAAAAGATGTCCCCATCAAAGGTTTTGAAGTGGAAGTTACCCCATGTGCTGCACACACGGCCATTGTGAGAGGGGTTGCCAGCTGTGGAGTCAAAACAAGCAGTATGAATTTCCTGTAATTTGCTGTAATACCCTCCCTTTAGATGCCCTTCCCCTCCTGGGTCTTTCAGTAACCTCTGTCCCAAAAGCCCATCTTCTGTTTTCCTTCTTGTCATGCTATTTGCTCATCATAATTTTTTTATTTGGTTCAGTTACTTTTTGTGTTTAATCTGTTTTGCATAGAGAAGGAGACCTCCTGGGTCTCTAGATCCAATGCTCTGGTTCTGTCAACACCCGTATGCTATAAATCCTTTCATACATATATGAAGTTCTAAAGTTTCACCATAAACCCAGTTTTAAGTTAGTTTAACACTAATTGATACTCCTACTAGGGAAGGCCACTCATACCTGCAACCTTTGAATGGCTGGAAGACTTTTGCCAACATCTTCCAAACCATATTCCTGTCTCATGTATACCTGGTTGTTCTTGTGCCAGAATTACACTTCACCTTGAAGGGCTTTCACCTGCCTACTACTCCCCCCACCAATTATAGAAATCTCTTGTCTCTTTTCAGTCTTCATTTCCTTACAAGCAGGCTCTTCTATCTCCGTGATAATCTTCACAGTCCCTTCCTGCATTTCTTCCACATTTACACTCACCTTGCTTGAATTGTACCCTATACCCTAGATAAGATGTCTCCACAGTGTTTTCAGCATATTAGTATTTTTCTCTCTTTACTGGAAATATTGTGCATGATTTTTCCCATTATTGCATATATAAGTTTATTTTTAATTTTTTTTGTTTACAGCTGCATTATATAAACACAATGCCGGTGAAGCACTGGATTCACAGTTAGATTATCTGTGTTACCTGAGGAACTGATGACTTTTCTGTTAAGTTTTTTTCACAGTGCTAAAGCATCTTACACAATCTATTGTTCTCTTGAGTCACTCCATGCTCTGTGTGATCAACAAGAACACAGATACCTGTGCCATGACATTTGGTTAACTTACCCTTTACTCTCAGCGTGTTTTGAAAAGGTGGAATGATTGTCACTTCTTGGGATTTGAAAGCTGGTAGAAAAGCAAAAGGAGAAAAAATGACCAAGTTTAATCTTATTAGAATGCTACAAAATGGATAGAGATAAGGTAGCCTTTTTAGTGATGAAAATTTCCTACTACTATTTACACTCTGTAGGGACGTTTCCACAAGGTTTTATTGGTGGTTTTTACACATTGCTTTGTGATCTATCTTTCTATAAATTTCACTGACAACTAAATTCCAAAGACTATGCCCTTTGGCTGTAGTACTTTCTTTCATTATTTGTTCAAGACTCCCATCTGATCCTGGCCCAGGTTCTGAACTCAGAAGCAACAATATGATCCTCAGCTATTGTTAAATAATTTGTGGTACACTTCTTGCAGGACAGACTTAGTGATCAGTTGTTTCAGCCTGTCATCACTTATATACCAGTCAGCCTTGTATCCTTCCACCCTTATTTTTCTCTGTACAGTTATGTGTCATACGTGATCTTGTAGTGCTTAATTATGCTAACATTTAAGGTAGTTACAGTTTCCTTATTCTCTCATGAGTAATGCATTCATCTTGACACAGTGTAAAAAAAATTAAAACGTGTCCTTTATTACCTACTATCAAGTACCCTGGTGATACGTATGTAAACACACACCTCTTCTGAAAATACACTTTTAGATAGAAGGTATGTACCTTTCCTGAAGTTAAAGATTAGATAACTCTATCATATCAGTAGAGCAGATCCACTGGCCCAGATCTCATAGGAAGTTCTCAAGTTTAGAGCAGTCAGAGATCGGGTATATTGTACAGAAGACTTCTCTTTTAACGTGTGTGGCATATTCTAGCTAGGACTAAAAACATTCTAGTAATCTTATTATTTATCAACTTGCGTTGGAACAAAATCTTAGAAATAGATCAGCATAAAAATACTTACGTTTTTGTCGCTGCAGGATAGATGGAGAAATATACTTTGTTTGTTGTTCACCATCTTGGGCTTGAACTGCATCAAGAATGGTAGAAATGTTAATGTCTAATTTTCTTGAGCTCCCTCAATTTCTCAATTACATCTGTTTTAACATGTAACAGTCAGTATATAAAAAAAAAAAAAATCAGCAAAGATATGCTCATGTACAGGTCAAATTTGAATCAGGATCTGGGCTGCATGCAACCATGATGGCCAAACACCACTCCTTCAGCTTTTCCGTTTTTTTGATATGTTTTTATTTTTTTGGCTGATAAATTACTGCAGGGAAGCCATCAAAAACATGCCTGTGGTAGTTTGAGCAGATCCTTATTCTGTTATTGTCACAATGTACCCCTGCATTCCCTTATAAGCTTTTCAGATGAAGAACTTATTTTTCTTAGGTTTTATGGTCACTCTGTGCTTTAAGCATCAGCAAAACCTTTTTTCTAGCCAGAGTGCTTTAAAATTTCCTTTTGTACAGGAAGAATTCATTTTAGGATTATAGGACATATCTCTGGCCTCTCTTACTCAGTTACTCTGTATTTTACAGTTTCAGGCACTCTTTGTGAAAAGCAGCAGAAGAAAAATAAACACAAAAGCCACACAGAAAGAAATAGGTCTTTCCAATACATATATTTGTGCCTGTTGATTTTGCCCCAAAGCAAAACTTTTTGTTTCCAGCAAAGAAGCCATTTTTCATTCCATTCTACTGCAGCATCACAATAGGAATAAATACATTATCTACAGGGACCAGAGGGGCTTTTAATACACTGCTTAGTAAGAGTTCATCACAGGGCATGTTGCAGTGGAGATTATGCTGGCCAGAGAAAACCAAAAAGGCAGGCTCACCTCCTGCTGCACCCTGCAAGGGAAGTCTGTGAGCAGCACCACTAGAGGGGCTTAGGCTGAAACCAGAATTGTAGAGAGCTCTACAAGTCCCTTTTAGCACTACCCAGGGGTCTGCAGCTGGTGTTGGAAAGACATGCTGTGCCTAGTTTTAAGTTAGGAACCATTCAGTGCCTCTGGGCTCCTCCTCTGCCCAGCCTCAGAGAGCTTTTTGCTTCTCTCTCCATGCACTATATGGCTCCATTCTGTCTCGTGCCATATGCATTGCAGATCTCTGCTTCCATTGCATGGTGTGGTAATGCTATAGTTAGTCTTTTGATGGGCTTTTCCATGACACTACCACTTTTTAACATAAGGGAGTATGGAATTGCCTAGGAGTAGGAAAAATATAAAATCATACAATAGGATCTGCACCTGAGATCAAAATGAAAAACTAAAATTGTTGTTACCTTAAACTATAAGGGAAATTATGTCATGAAAAAATAATTTTAAAAATGTAAAAAGTTATTTCAATCCATTTCTGACTATTAATGCCTTCTTAGAATACTTAAAGTCGCTTCATTTGCTTTCAGCCCATTGCAAACCAACCCTGTGTGCTAAGCTTTTGTGCAACCTCATGGGCAAGAGTAAAAGAATAGTTAAAACCTATTGTCCAGTGATTTTCAAGCAAAACCCTCCTTTTTTCAATAGTGTGTCATCAGCCGATAAACAAAATCTTTAAAAATGCATACAGACAATCTCATCCACTGACTTGTTCCTTTCTAGAGGTACTTTTGTACCTTTTAGTTTGTGCATTTAGAAATGCTGTACCACCTTGAAATGGACATCAAAACTAAATGCAAACCTTGAGGCATTTTTGTAGAAATGTAAGTTCTGAGTGAGTTCCACTGAATGCAGGGGAGCTGTTCCAGATTTCAACTGGAGAAAACAGGACAGCAGTTTGAAAAGAGGTAATTTCTTCTTCTTAAGAAGTATTCATAACAGAAAAGAAAATCTTGCATGAATGTAACAGGTTCATTAACTTCACAAAGCCAAGGAAAAAAATGTTTCAAACTCCGAAGCAAGCTATAAATTCTTTAAAACAGTAAAAATGCCAAGAAAGTGAATCTTCCTACCTTTTATCTGTATGAAGAAAAGTGCTAGTATTGATATCCATAGCGGTATTCTAGTTCCACCACCTCTGCCCATCTTCTGGAAGTCCGGTAGAAGCTACCGAACAACCTGCCTCTGAGGAAATACCTCTCTGTTCCCGAGTCTTATATACTGAGAGAGGAGGTTTTGGCTCAGTTCCCAGATTGTTTCACAAGGTTCTTAAAAGGTGGGGCTTCAGACATTTTAGTTTTCCTTTGCAGGTGCACAGGTAAATAGAGGATGCTCTGACTTTCCCTCAGGTATTTACACTCTAGGAGGAGTCTTCTTTCTACAGGTCTTTCTGACAAAATGTCAGGAAATGAGCAGGAAGAATTTTTGCTTAGGCTTAGTCTTTCCAAATTGTTATATATTATGAGATAAACACAGTTTAAGGGACTTTTAAGTGGCTTTTGAGCAGGAACTTGGAGTGAATTACTTCACTTTTTTTTTTTTTTTCCATTTTCCTTCTTATGGTAAATAATGGTAATTAACTTCTCAAGAAAACCCAAAGAAGTTCCACCTGGTACAAATTGTTTTTAATGAGTTTGCACCTGCCTATGTAGCTAGTTTGCTTGTGAAAATGGAGAAATCAAGTACCATCTAAGGTCTGCATTTATCCCACTGGCCAGGCACAACACAGGTCTACACAATGAAGATCCTTCAGCATTAGAGAGTCAGTAGTACGGACCTCTCCTTGAGGGACCGCTCTTCTCACATGGGCAGTTGTAGTGCTATTTCTGCTGTTTCTCTTCTGAGTAAACATGATTTCACCATTAAAAATTAGATTGATTCTACCCAAAAAAAACCCCACAAAAAAACCCCAAAACAAAACACCTGTGGTGATTGCTCACCCTAGAGACACACAAATAGGGATGCAAAAAGACTGATTTGCAAGAATATTCCTTATCTTAGGGACAAGAGAGTGAACAATGCTTTGTGAGTGTGTTAAAATAGTTATTTACAGCTATATTACTTGGTGAATTAACCTTTTATAGTGTTTTACCCTAGGATGAAGAGAAACACAGTCTCTCAGTAGGAGAACAAATCCCATAATCCCACATGGCTTCAAACATTTCTGGCAAGGAAGAAGTTACTGGGATTGTTTCCATATTCCATGATTTTCTATTATTGTTTTCTGAAAAATAATCATGAAATCACAGAATCTTGGAATTGTTTGGGTTGAAGGGACCTTAAAGATCATCTAGTTCCAATTCCCCTGCCACGGGCAGAGACAACTTCCACTAGTCCAGGTTGCTCAAAGCAACCCCATCCAGCCCAGTCTTGAACACTTTCAGGGATGGAGCATCCACAAATTCTCTGGGCTACCTGTTCCTGTGTCTTACTACTCTCACAAAAAGGAATTTCTTCCTAATATCTAAAAAAATCTACCCTCTTTTGGAACAGTTAGATTTGAGGAAGTAACTTCAACACTAAGAAAGAAATAAAAGGCCCAATTTTTCCCTGTGCAGCAAACAGAAGCAAGAAAATACACTAGTTGTCCTGAACATTTTAAGAGTACAACTGGTTATTAATATTTAAATAAAGGTGACAAAACAAAATGAAATTGGAACTGTTGAGGAAAAGAATTCTTCCACTTCAGTCATGAATTATATCTCTGGCAATTTCGTTGACGTATAAGTCTGTAAAATTTACCTTAGCATTATTTAACAAGGAAAAGAAGATGTTTACAAGATGCTTGTATATATGGAAATACATGCAGTGAAAATTCAAGGAAATATCATTGTCTTTAGTGGTTATTATCGAAGTTCCAGGATGAAGATCTAAAAAAAATAAAAAAAATTATAAATGGCACATAATTAGAGTAATTATAAAATAGCATGGTAAACTCAAGTGGGTAACACACATAAGCATAGTAAGAGATTATGTTGGTAGGAAGAAAAATATGCTTTATGAATCATTACATTGCTTAGCACTGAAAAATCAGTTCATATCAACCGTTGCTATGCTGTAGTTTCGTATACATTTCCTGCATGTTTAGGGAAGCACTGTGATCTCTGAGAGATCCCAGTCTGGTCATCACAAATTAGGCTGAAACTGGTTTACAATTAAATTTACCCCCTTTAACTGAGCTTTAAGACATCATCAAAAGTTGTTTCCCTATATCTGTATTTTTTACTTCTGAAATCTCATATATGTCATGAATCATGTTATCCTTTCACTCCTAAGTGGTTAATTCATTGATTAAATCTCTTGCCATAACTTAAGATAACTTCCTTATCTTGTGCTATTTCTTCTAAGAAATTATTATAAAATGTGTCAAAATATACTAGTCTTGCAAAAATAATCTCCAAATATTTATGATAAATTAATTTAGTACTATTACTATTTGTTCAAAGATATAATTCCTCTTCACCTCCATTCACATAATAGACATACAGCAGTGATATGGGAGAGTATTTTTCTAAGATTGGTGGGAGGTAACATGTCCAATTTGTGTAACTGTTTATGATCAAATCTGTGCAATTGACTGTATAAACAGAAGTATTAGTATATTAGAAAAATTTACCGATATAGCTATTTATAATTTTTTTAAGAGAAAAGATAGAATATTTTGAAATTGCATTTGATCTGAAAACTCTGACACTTCTTTCTATATTTTCTCTTCCTTTTTCATGGGGTCATATTCCTAATCTCTACATCTGCAATATTAAATTGAATTAAAAATTTCAGTAGAAGAGTTGCTGGCGTTTTCAGAATAATTCTTTTTAGTCCTACATGATCAAATGTTACATGGTGATGATATTAGTTCCACATCTTACTCATGATTTCTGAATTTCATTCTTCATAAGAAAAAATTAAACTATCATATCTTATTTTCATACAGTGAGTAGAATGTAAATAAAATGTCATGGCAAATTCGGTACAATAATGATTGAAATTGATGTCTCCATTTGTAGTTAAAAAAGACAGAATGATGGACTCAGAGCCATGCAAAAGGTGTCTAGTCCACCTAGTGCCCTCTTGGAGCAGGGACTATTCATATTAAGGGAAGGTTGAAAACAACCTGTACTTGATAGGAATTACTCTGTGCCAAGGCTAAAAAGCAAGTTAACGAGGAGTTGTCTGCTTGGCTTTTCTCTGGTCATTTGGCCACTTCCGAAGCCATGTTTAAACTCTGAAATGGTGTTGAGACATTTGGCATTTCATTCAGTTGAAGTATCATTCTGATTGTCCCTAAATTTTAATCTGTGCAAATTCAAACTCACAATATTTATCTGAAAGTTTCTTTGGAATGGGAGGCAACTGATCAGTTTCTACCAAAAGAAAACATTGTCCATTAACATTATAGGTGTTCTCATAGTTACTTGAAGACAAACTACATTTCAAATAGTTGCAGTAGGTATTTCATAGCATGATAGGATATAGTCTATCTAAAGTTAAAGACTAAAATGGAGATACAACTGCTTTTATTTTCTTTACTAGGTCTTACTCAAACATAGTACCATTGATCCATTCCTTTACCTCCAAATGCTTAGATAAAACACAGATTGAAAATCAAATCACATTAATACTGAATTTGAAGCCGTTTCATGCAATCTTTTAGTGTGTACATTGTAGAGAACCAATACATAATGTGTTGACCTCCATTGCAGTCTCTATGTTTCACCATAAAACAAATAACATGTAACATGATTTGGATCTATTTCTTGTTTTATTTCTATTATCTGTTAATTTTAAAGGTTGATGTGTCATTTAGAAGAACCCAAGCAAAGCATAACATTTTAAATTAGGCATTGGAGACTGTGTAGCTGCAACATGAGAGGCTGGTTAACACCAATATGACTAGGAAGTAAGAGATATTGAGCATAATACCTCTTATTTTATTTGACATTTATGCTTTAGGAATCAAAACAGTAAGAAAACATTTTAGACTACTGTATTAAGACATTCCACCTATGCAAGGATACTGTGCAGTTAGTAAAGAAAAAAACCAATGTGCACCCTGTACCATGAGAAGTATGAACATGGGGGCCAGAGTAAGGTTTCCATGTTGTCTGAACACGTCCAGGATATCTCTGTGTATAAAGGGGATAAACACTTAAGCCTCTTTACAGTTTGTAAACACAGACACCACAACCGTGCATGCCAATATTTGCAATTGGTATTATAGACTAAAAAATTTATGTACACACACATACTTCAAGGCATATTTGCATTGTGCAGTGGTGCGTGTTGCAGAGATCCCTCTGCTAGCAACAGCCAAGGTAAATTTATAATAGGAAGTAGTGTCACTACATTGAGATGAAGTTCCAGAGAATTTGCCTTTCTCTGGGGCACTGACACTGCAATACTGTGTTTGGGATTTGAGCTCTGCCTACGGCTATACAATGCCATAGGGTCATAGTAGTGCTGTGTAATGCCAGCTGAAAGCCAGACTCTGTTACGTAGTACCATAGTGCCCAAAATATAAAATCAGTCTTTAGAAGCAATTGGTGTTTGCAGGCTCAGAAAAATAAATGGTACAACTGGTAAAAAAGTGGGTGAAATGGAATGCTAAGCTGAGCAGTGCGTATAAGCCTTCAAAGGAACCTCTCAATGATGCACAACCTCAAAAAAATCTACATATTAGTATACTATAGTGGACATAATTCTGCTGAATGACACTTTGTTTATTTGTAATAACGTAAACTACAGACTGTATATAAGTGGAGATATTTCTATATATATACATATATATACACATATATATATGCTATTACCACTAGCAAGTTTTGTCAGTTCTATTATTAGTGAATGGTGTATGGCTCTTTCTCCACTGGATCCTTGAATACATACCCTTAATTTAAATCTGTAGCAGATTATCTAAAAAGTGCACGGAAGATATAATAAAATGCATACAAACAAGGACAAACATGGAGAACAAAACAAAATCCTTTGGTCCATGTACAATTAAAGACTCAGAGAAATTAATAAAATTTATACCTGTGAAAAAAGTTAGCAGACACCTCTTTAGTATTTCAGTTCAAATGTTGCCATTCCTTTTAATAATTAAGGTTTCTGTTA